TGAAGATCTTAAAGAACGTGAGGGTTTATAAGGCTGAATAAGATCAGAAAGATAAGAAGGAGAAATTCCATTAAGAATCTTAAAAGTAATTAAAAGAATTTTATATTCAATGCGTTGATCTACAGGCAGCCAATGCAAGTTGTAAAGAATAGGCGTGATATGATCGCGTTTGCGAGAAAAAGAAATTAGTCTTGCTGCCGCATTTTGCACACGTTGTAACTTATTAATAGAAGACTTAGGAAGACCATAGAGCAAAGAATTACAGAAATCTAGTTTTGAAGAGATAAATGCATGTACAAGTGTTTCACATGCACTGACACTGAGCCATTTGCGTATTTTCCAAATATTGTGAATGTGGAAAAAGCATGATTTACATACTGCTGTTATATGGGATTCTAAAGAAAGCGTTTTGTCAAAAATGACCCCAATATTTCGTGCCGAGGAAGATGATAAAATGTCAAAGCCAAGAATATTAAGCGACACTTCCGATGAGAAAGGGCGATGTGCAGCTGAAAGTACCACTAGTTCAGTTTTATCACCGTTAAGTTTTAGCTTGTTTGTAACCATCCATAAATCAATATCTTTGACACAGGCCTCAACCTTGGATTTTGCTGTCATCATCTCACATAAGGACGTTGTAGAGAAAGAAATATATAATTGTGTATCATCTGCATATAGGTGATAGCCAAGCTCATGCCGATGAATAATATCTGCAATTGGTGAAATATATAATGAAAATAAGATAGGTCCTAGAATTGATCCCTGAGGAACACCACAATCAAAAGAACGAGAAAAAGATTTACCTTCCGGGACACTGACATAAAATTGCCTATCACTAAGATAGGATTTAAACCATTTAAGAGCTAAGTCTCTAACTCCAAAAGATGTATATAGCCGATTTAAGAGAATATCATGGTTTACAGTGTCAAAGGCAGCAGAAAGGTCTAGAAGGACAAGAAAAACTGATTTGTTCATATCTATGTCACGCAAGATATCGTTTTGCACTTTTAGAAGAGCAGTTTCCACGCTGTGGTTTTTCTTATAAGCAGATTGCAATGGTACATTGATATTATTTCTCTCAAGATGGTCGATCAGCTGGTGTGAAACAACTTTTTCAATAGCCTTTGACAAGAACTTTAAGTTAGAGATAGGTCGAAAACTAGAAAATTCTTCAGTGGTTAAATTCTGCTTTTTAAGGAGAGGCTTAATCACAGAATGTTTTAGAATCGAAGGCATTGACGCATTTTTCAAAGAAAGATTGACAATCTCACAAAGGACGGGCGACAAATGGCTTGCAACCAGTTTTAAAAATTTGCCAGGAACAGGGTCAAGCTCACATGATTTTGACACCAAAGAAAAAATATGTTTAGAGAGATCCTGATGATGAATTACAGAAAAGGATGTGAGATAATCATTCAGAAAGACACATTCACTGGGTAGAGTATAAGAGATATCCTCAAAATTATTTTGTATATTGATAATCTTGTTTACAAAAAAATCAGCAAAACTATTTGCGAGATGGTTTGGCGAAACAGCAGATGGAAAACTCTTCTCAGACTTCTTGTGGGTCATTTTTTCAAAAGTAGAAAAAAGAGTTCTTTGGTCCGACTGATGCTCACGGATCATGTTTGAGTAGTAACCATTTTTAGAAGATTTTAAGAGATTTTTTACAATATTACATTGTTCAACATACAATTCTTTGTCAACAGTCAAGCGAGAGTGGCGCCATCGATTTTCAAGTTTCCGGCGCTTAGCTTTTTCAGTCTTGATCTCTGATGTATACCAGGGATTGTGAGGACGCAGAGAAACTATACGGTTTTTAGATGGACAATGAGAATTTAGGACAGAAACGAGTGTGGCGTCATACTGCTCAAGTAGGCTATCAAGATCACCATTAGGAGATATGACTAAAGAAGAATTTGAAATGTCATGAATAATTGCATCAGGATTCATTGCCTTAAGGTTACGGCATTTTGTGACAATTTTTTGAAAAGGAGGTTTTTGTATTTTGAGATCACCAAAAACAGCAGAATGAAAAGAAATACAAGGATCGAAAACGGWAAWATTWCAAATGACATCATCCCCAGTCCTTGTAATTACAAGGTCAAGCGTATGTTTGCCCTGATATGTTRGCTCTTTAACATGTTGAGTCAAATTGAAAAGCTCTAATAAGTTCAAAAATTTAATTGCAGATGGATTAGAAGAGTCATCAACATGAAAGTTGAAATCACCCATCAAAAGAAATGAGCCAGATCTCACTGAAAATTGCTCAAGAAAAGATGAAAATTCTTCCAAAAACATTGCATCAGAAAATTTATTACGCTTAGAAGGGGGAGGTCTGTAAATAACAAACAGTGAAATTTGAGAAGATGATATTTTCATGCCCATAGCTTCAAAACACTTGAAGCTATCAAAATTTATTTTCCCAAGTTTTAAAGCTTTTTTAAAAAGAATGCCAACGCCACCACCTCTACTTTTTCTAGAGATATGGTGAAAAATATATCCTTTAGGTGTTAACTCATTTATAACTTGTTGTGAATTACTTTTTAACCAAGTTTCAGTTAAACATAAGATGCTTGTTGTGAATTACTTTTTAACCAAGTTTCAGTTAAACATAAGATGTCAATACTGTTTTCAACTACAAAATCATTTGTAACTGTAGGTTTATTACACACTGACCTGGCATTTAAGTGGCATATTTTTGCAGATTTCTCTATGGAAAGTTGTAAAGGCAGGCGTGGAGGAATAGAAAGATTTTTCAAGTTGACGCCGCGCTTATAGAACTTGGTACGAGAGGACATATTGAGCCCTGAAAGCGTGTTGATTTTGTTTCGAGTCGTTTGCCGTTTGTGACGACGACCTCCTTTATTTCGGCGTGTTTTTAGAATACCAAGGTTTTTAAGAGTAGAAAAGGTATCCGATGGAATCCAAGACTTAGATTTATGACGAAAAAGCTGAGATCTTGAGTACATGAGCCTTGTAGAGGACCGGCTCGAAGTTGAATTTAAGGCCAAAGATGTCGATTGTGCAATCAGCACGGGATGACGATAAAAAGTTGACTGCAGACCAATATGTCCATTAAAATCGAAGCAGCAGGTTGAAGATAGGTCAGATGGAACTGTTGACAGTGGAAAACGGGATGTTGCTTGGCTAAATTGTCCATATCCCAGAGAAGAAAAGTTGTGGTTCGCTTGAATGGMRACWGMTCTCAGCCGACAMGAAATGTTTGGATGCCTTAGATAGCTCCATTTTGAAAATTGCATTGCGAGCTATGTTACTTGGCATACCGCAGCCGAATGGAATGCAATGTGCGGATCTAGGAGTTCTTTCCCGAACGCTSTTGGCTGTATAGATGGAACACCGCACCGGATTTTATAGACCACAGGTAGAGCCACAACGTCATTTCTATAGCTCGCGTAGACAACGGGAGGTCCAACATCTTGCAAAATGGCGACAGTGTTTGTTAAACGTTGTTCCTTCTGCCGTAAGGACTTTCGAACAACGGCCGCCTTAATGAAACACCACAATCAGCGTCACACTGGAGAAGACTTCCCGAATAATAGTTTGTTTTTTAAGAAAAGCTCTGACGAAATCCGCAAGGCCCCAGAGGGGAAGCCAATACAATGCAAAGAAGAGTTGTCCAGGTACCAGGTTTGGATTTCCAACCTAGTTTATGGTATTTATTCCTCTCATCACCCCAAATCGCCAGGTAAGTCACTGACAATAAGATTGGAAATTCATATATCGCTTTTTCATAGCTAGAAAGCGCTTGCATACAAATGTTTTGCATAATCACGTAGATGACATGCCCGACGTGTAATTGTACCCGCGGACTCATCAGTGCCATGAGTACCGTGACGTCTAAAATTCTATTGTTCCTGAAAGTTTGATAGATACATCACTTCTTTGGTGATTATTCATTTTAAAATTACTGTGATATGTCGAGAAATCTATTTGATACATTACACGTTGAGCGTTATTATTGATTATTATACAGTAGTCTCCTTGCAAACATGCTATAAGAAAACAATGTCGCGTTCTTAGCTGGCTTAAAACAGACTCCGAACGTTTATTTCGACATTGCATTTAATTGTTTTCGTGAAATATTTCATCAACTTTGCCTAAAGCAATTTTTTTAGCACGCCATTACTTTCACTGACTCATTAAAAAATCATTGCAATATTATTAAAGTTTTGCACTCACAGTCTCTATTGCCTTTACAGAAAAATGGCAACAAATTAAACTAACAGATGTACCAGAGGCATACTTTTTGCAGCTCCTATTTGACCTAAAGGCACGCTGCAACAGTATAAAATTCAAAATCAGAAAAATAATTAGCAATGGATTTAAAGCATTGGTTTGAAGATTAAAAACTACAGCTGTTAAAAAAGGTTATTGCTGTGATTATTTTATGTATTTACAAAAATAAAATGTACATTGCATAAAAAAGGAATGTGAAATTGCCCAATGATGCGCCTGGAGAAAATACTTTCTCACAGAACAACAGCCATAAGTGGCCAAGTCACTCTGCTGCTTCAAGGCAACCTGAAAAAATTGATAAAGAACAATAATCATCTATGCAATGAGATCTTATGCAGTAAGACAGAATTCATGATTTTGGTTGTCTAGACCACTCAATAATTTGAAGCAAGAGGTATTTTCTGTATTTTTTCATGTCTTTGAAACTCCACAAAAAGCAACCATTCAGATGTGAATTCTCACTAATTATAGGTGGGTTCACACTAGGCCCTAAGTATTTCTGAAGTGTATACTTACTCCAGGTAGCGAAAGTACATACTTTAAATAAGTGTGTTTACATAAGTTCTTGAGACGTTCATACACACTAACAAAGTAGTTACTTAGCATTTTAAAAACTGTCAATCATAAAGAGAAAAGTTGACATTTGAAAAGTAGATCGGATTTTATAATCGTCTAACCATGCAGGGTGAAAGGTCTAAATTATGTGTAGTCTTTCTAACATTTCTGTTGATCTTATTAATGCTACAACAACAAGTAGGGCTTCAACAACAAGCTTTTTTGCATATACGTATGCAACAGATCATGCACGCGAGGAGCCGAAGCAGGAGAATTATGCTCTTGCTTTTGACAGAAATCCGTAGACGTCGTAGAATAAATCGACGTGTTGCTGGTCGGAGAGCTTGGTCCTGGCCAAGACCTCAGCTTTGGTTTCGTACGATGCTGGCAAATCACAACCTAGACGTTTTGTGGAAAGATAATTTTCGCATCACCCGGCCAACATTTGACTACATCTGCGATCTTGTTAGAGGAGATTTACAAAAGAATGTAACTAGGATGCGACAGCCAGTAAGTGTTGAAGAGCGTGTTGGACTATCCATCTGGCGATTGGCCACCGGTAATACCTACCGGACCTCTTGCAATTTGGTCTGGGGAAATCGACGGCGAAATGTATTACCGAAGAGTTTGAAGAAGCGTTAACTGGTCTACAGAATCGATTTATTGTATTCCCTGTTACAAGAGACGAAGTAGAATCAAAAATTGATGAGTTTGAACAGAAGTTCGGAATACCGCAAATAGTAGGTGCAGTGGACGGTTGCCATATTGAAATAGCTGCTCCTCCAATTAACCCCGAAGATTACTTCGATCGCAAGAAAATGCTTTTAAAGAAAATTTCCATTTGTTTTTCTATGAACAAAAGTGAAAATCAAGCGGTAGCTTTCTATACTTGTTGTACAAGTCCAGGACGACTTTTGGAGGTCGTTTTTACGGCTCACCGGCAAATACGGTACTTAATTTTTTCAGTCCGAGGAAACCCACTACCAAAATCTCATTTACTAACAATACGTAGTACTAAGAGTGCATGAAATATCCGTGGAACGCTTTCTACTCTTTAGTGCTAAGTAAAAAATACCAAGTGAAGCCATAAGGGGACTATTCGCTAAGCCCTAACAACAAGGGCTGCTTCTGCTCGTGTGCGATCAATACGAGATTCAATGATTTAGTTGATCGAACATGTCAAAATGAAGCCCAACTAACCATTAGGGGACTTTTCGCTAAGCCCTAAAAACAAGGGCTATGCATACCATGTAGTGCTATGTACTACCATGTACTGCCATGTGCAGCCATGCATTGCTATGTATACCATGTAGTATGATGTATGCCATGTACTAACATGTATCATGTACTACAATATATTATATACTATAGTATTACTATACTACATGTATATTATGTACTACCAGGTATGCTATGTACTGCCATGTTGCGCCATGCATTGCTAGGTATACCATGGTATGATGTATGCTATGTACTAACATGTATGTCATATAATTGTCGTGTATTGCAATGTATTATGCGCTATACAATCATGTGTATTATGTACATTTGGTGAGTGCATGTGCCCTATAATTGGTGAGTAGTTATCATGGACTTACTACCACAAGGGCTGCTTCTGCTTGTGTTCGATCAACTAAATCATTGAATCTCATATTGATCGCACACAAGCA